CAATCAGGCAATCATACATGTCACAATTTTATATTTATATATTAATGTCAATAATTCAGAAGTGCATATATAGCCTACACTACAAAGAAATAATATACAATTAAATTATGCTTATTTAAAATGTATAGGTATAACAAAATAATATTTCAGTGCGCAACTTCAGTACCCATGATAACATGGAAAAACAGAGAGCACACAGCGTGTATGCGCATCGCGGGTGCAGAATGATGTGCTCAAAGCAACATGGAGTCACAATGTGCAGCACTGCGCTGCATAAGTGCGCATTTAAAAGCTCATGTCACAAATCAAAGAAATGTTGAGCGCACAAATCCTAGTGCGATTTGTTCCGTACAGTTATTGTGCTTTTGATGCCGATTCATAGTCCTTGGAATAGGCCTATGTGTGATCTAACAAGCACACGGTAGTGAGTCGTTTAAAAAACAGCAACAAACTCCAAGAAAATAAAGTAGTTTTATGCGAATATACAGCCTTTTATCTACATATCATGCATTATAATGTGAATATATCATATTGGAGAGAGTTTTACCGTGCATCCAAGAGGCGCGCGTGCTGTTTGAATATGAATGGAGAATGATTGACAGCCGCAGAGGAGGGAAAACGGGTTTCCGTATACTTTAATGATGTGAATATACTTCTGTCCCTCACATTAAGCTATGGAATGACTTCAGATGACTTTGTCACCCAAACTGACGTGAAAAAAGCGGGAGGCGCCAAAAAGCGCGCTATTTGCATCCCTGCCTGTCAAAACGTGGCAAAAACACGCATTAAAAAGCTGCTGTAACAGTATACCATTTGGCACTTAAAAAGCACGTAACGACACATAATTCCCCGTCTTCTTTTACTTAAGAATATTTTTGAATTATTTATAAAATGCATAACTGATGCTACAAAAATTAATACTGGCCATTGGGGTGGCCAATGGGGTGGCCACGAGTCGGCCAGGGGTGGCGGCGCCATTGATTACATGTATTTACTATTAGCCTGGCATGCCAGACCTACATCAAGATGTTAGGTCTGGAAACTCTTCATTGAAAGGGCTCAATCCGAGGGGCGGGATAAACGGTTGTCTTTCAAATTCTCTCTGCACGCAATTGGATAGCGCTAAAGCCAATCAGAGCAACAAAGACAGTGACGTACTCAGCGGAGCAAGTTGATAAACTTTTACCATATCCAGTCCAGCTGTCAACATTGAACATTGAAAATAAGGGAGATTTCCCAGAATCCATCCCCAAAATAAGGGATTTTTTTTTTTACACGACCCACAAACTTTAAAAATAAAACACTAATCATTAAAAGTCTAAGAGTAACTAGCCTACATATGTGTGAGAGAGAAAGAGACAGCGTGTCATTAAAAAAATATAGTATCATAGAGAATGTTTAAATACTAATTTAAAAGGAAACGGAGCCGGAGTAGTGGTGCTTCGGGGTGGTGGAGATGATTCGGGAGAGGTCCGTGCACCTATACCGATCAGAGCGCGCGCAGACAGAGTAAAGCCTTTATACTCGACTTGACAGCACGAGCGCGGCAAATATGACAAGTTGATCATTTCGCCACAGCTTTTTTGTAACAGCACGCGCGGCGCCGGCCGCATCCGAGGATGAACGACTTCAAACCGAATATGTCCGAACTTGCTCTGACCGTCGCAACTCTGTCATCATTATGTTAAGCCCGCCCTCCGACTCTATACACGATGTGATTGGCCCTACCAGAGTTGGGGTTTTCCAGCTCAAACGTCTATGGAGAGTTGCTAGACCACACTTAATAATTTTTGCTGCCGCTTGGGTGCGTCTAGATATCTAGGCTAATTTACTATAGTAATAACTAAAAATAATGCATAATTACATGCAAGTAACCCTCAACAAATCCTAACCCTTTAGTAATTACATGACTTTCATTAATATTACTATATACTTAAATGTAATTACACTGTAATACTGACACCTTCAAATAAAGTAACCCGAAATGTATATAATGTACATGAAACAAACTGTGTTTTTACTACGGTACGCCTATAATAAGTGTTCATATTCCAACATGACATCATGACTTTTGCGTAAACATATATGCCACTTTCGAGTCAGGTGGCGTGTTATCTCCACGCATTTTGTGCTATCCGCGTGTATCCGCGTGTATGCGTATATGTCTACGCCATTAACGTCCGCGTCATTCCGCGTGTCTGAACACGCAGTCAAATCTCCAGTCATAAATGCCATTAACCCCAGTGACGGTTAAGTTTAGGGATGGGGTTGAGGCAAGTCATATATTTATATAACGTTAAGTCAACGGCGTTCATAAACACGCTGAAAGGCGATTATGCGTCTTGATAGCACGCCAAAAATGGAAATACGAATTGGCGTGTATTATTCATATTCGTGCATATTCAGACTATATAAACAGAGGGAAGTAGCTCCGGCTGCAGTGTTTTTCTATAAGACACGTGGCAGTTTTGTTTATTAACTGCTCGAGCGCCAAAACTTTCATAAGTGTCCCTTTAAACATTTTACTGATGAACCCTAGACAGAATTATTCAGAGACATATTAAATCAGTTTGGAGTAAAACCAGTTCATGTAGATGTTAGGTCATGAAGTGCATTTTGACCCACCTTGCACAACTAAACCAACAGGACACACATAATCATTAAATGAAGCAAGAATTAGGTCTCAGGTCAGTCCTATGCCACATTAAAGCTCTAAAACAGTTACTGTCCTGAGAAAATAGTTGCGCATTGGATCAAATTTTTAATAATTTGTCATAGGTCCTCTTTCTTATACAAACAACTCCTACCTATATTCACAAGAACCTTCCCTGCTGTCTCTATGGCTCAATAACAAAACAACTGAACAAAGGACGCCCAACTTGCAAGCATGGCCTCTAGAGTCTCAGCTTACAGCATGTTGATATGTTCAGATTAAAGCACACAAAGCAGGTGCAGAAGATGTGCGTGTGTGTGATGCATGCTAGAAAGAGAAAGTAAGCGATCCTGTAACGCCAACGTGTAGATTTGGCTGTGCTTTGCATGCCTCTGAAGCAACAGTTAAAGCTAAAGACAGTAGCGCCGTCGTGGCTGTTGGGCTGAGATTGAAATGTTGTGGTTTTGCTGGTTGGAACTGAAAGAGTGTTGTGCCCTACTGACACTTCGGTACAACCACCTGCTCATCTCCGATTAGACGCACTTGTCACTATGACCATGCTAAATATATGATCCTGGGACATTAAAGATACTGACTGCATGTGTGTTTTTCTCCAACGGGGACATTTCGAAGAGAGCACTATGGATCTTCACATCTTAATAGTTCAGACTCAGAATATGAGGATTATTACTGCTACTACTGCTTTTAGAGGGCCATTAGAAATAAAATTAAACTGATAAACACAGCTGATTAACTAAAATTAATTGAATCTTAATTGAAAGATGTCTTGTTTTAATGGTTTGGTCACACTGCGAAAGAGCTGAAGTGAAAAATTCACCCATGCACTCGGTGTCATCAGCTGTAAGAATGAAGGTCACTTACTGTAGGATATTAATGAAGGATGTACTGTAGTAAAGTCTGGATTGAGTTTATTGATTGATCGATTTTTTTTCAGAGAGTGTGTTTAATGTGTCTAATGGGGCCATTAGTTCAATAGCAACTAATCTCCTATTTGAATAAAGTGTGTAATCCCTCACTTCAAAGCTTTTATATTGTGTATTCCCCTAAGAATATACCCGTCTCCCACTGTGACACATTTCTGCAATTCAACACAATCAGTACTTTTGTATCAAACAATTATTATTTTTTACATAGGTTCATAGTAGTTAAAGAGACCTGATATAAAGTGGGACCAACTACAAAAGTGTACATTTGATTTAATGTATTGTCTGGATTTATAAAGTTTGTTTTGTTTTTTTCTTCTTTTTTTACATTACATTATCATGTTGCAATGCAAGTGCAAATGTTAGAACTTTGCAGGTCTATCACCATTTTATATCATTATTAAAGAATTACTTAAATTAAATCAGTAAGACTTTCATTCATCTTCCTAACACAAATGAAGATCTTTTTGATGAAATTAAGATTCCTGTCCCTCCATTAACAGCTATGCAACTACCACTTTGATGCCTCAAAGTTCATATAGAGATTGTAAAACTAATCCATAAAATTTTCTGAAGAGACACGATTACTTTATATAATAAACAGATTGAATTTCATGAAGCTCAAACGTGCTGCGTAACACAAGAATGAACGTTATTTGTTGTCGCATGTCAAATGAACATGATTGAGCTTCTTTTTACCACAACTGATCATGTGTGAGTTGATGAATGTTTTTATGTGAATAAAAGTCTAAATTCAATCTGTTCATCATCATCATATAAACAGCAATCACGTTTCTACAGTAAATTTGGATTGAACCACTCAACTTATATGGATTAGTTTACAATTTCTTTATGAACTTTTTGAAGAACCATTTCTCCCCTTTTTGAAGCTTCTCACCGGAGGGAAAGAAAGCTCTCAGATTTCATCAAAAAGTTTTTCATTTCTTTTCTGAAGATGAACAAAAGTCATACAGGTTTGGAAGAAATATACCTTTAAATATGAAACTGAATTAATTTTTTTTTTTTTAAAGATGGTACTCCTGTTTTTCACACAAGCAAAATGCCAAAAAAAAACAAAACAACAAAAAAACAGTATACTGATGAAAAAAAAGTCGACAGACATTACTTTATTTTATGTGAGGAAATACACCTGTGTGAACTTGAGGACATCATTTGGTTAAAACAAAAAAAATCTCTAAAAAATTACTAAAAAGTGACGTCAGCACAAATGCAACTTGGTTTCAATACAGAAATATTTATGCACAGCAATATCAATGCATTCCTACAAGTGAGCTCAGTAAAATTAATTAGATTAGTTGCTATATCTGTACTGTAAATGAACAACTTGCATGTTAATTCAGCTGTAATTAATGACGTGTCCGCATCTCAATGCATAAGTTTACCTGGATCTCTGCAGCTCCAGGGCAGAGTTGGCAATCTGCCCTCCATCTAGACAACCGTAGTTCTGGCTGGACTGCCTGGAGTAGGACACGGGCAGGATTCCTGAGTGTACGTCTGGAGTCTCCCTCTCGTAGCCGGTGGGACAGCTGAGAAAGGGGAGCTGAACACGGCCTGGAGCACCTGAGCACCGCACACATCCCCATCCGCACCCGCACCGCACGCTGGAGGAGGAGGAGGAGCACCAGAGGCCGGGATCCCAGCCATGAAACCAGCAGCTCGGGCACTGCTGAGAGCCTGGTTCGCTGCCTCGGCCAATGCCTGCTGGCCCACTGCAGAAACCAGGCTCTGTCTAGTCCTCGAGCTGTCCTCGTCCTCGGTCTGACTCTCCCCGTCATCCTGCACTGGTCGTCCGTCCAGAGAGATGTTGCTGAGGAATGAGAGTGCAGCTTGTCTCCTTCGTGGATCTATCGCGCGCTTCCGTGTGTGCTCCAAACTGGAGGGCTTCATCTGCAGCGCGCTCGCCATTACGCGTGGGATAATGCGCGTTTGTCAACGGAGAGGGTTCATGGTGATTGTTTGGATGTGGGGTGAAATTGGTGGTCAAAACGCCATGGCGTTGGCTTTTAAGTGCCTGCTGTGCTGTGTTTTACTGTGTGTGTGTGTGTGTGTGTGTGTGTGTGTACAGAAAAGCTGGGTCACGTGTGTGCAGTATTGTGGCAGCAGGAGCTTTGGTCTGACCAATAGGGATTCATTAGAACGAGGGTGGTGTTCCAAAACGTCACGAGTCGCCTACCTAGACAGCATTCTTAGCGCATTCGGATCGAAATTCAGTTCAAAATTGTAGACAGCAGTCGTTTAGTTAATGTCGAACCTATTCTTAACACGACCACTATGCTATAAAAATAAAATGTTGCTTAGTTAGGCGGCTCGCTACATTTTGAAAAACAGCCTGCGTGGTTTCCCCCATGCCTTCCATTTTTTTGCTCCACCCTATTGGGCTACTTGGACAGGACATTAAAAATAAAAAAATGACATTGAAGTAAATATTTCAGGCACAACCCCGAATTAGCACGATATCTTTGATGCTCTTTAAATGTCGTTATTGTGGGTTTAAATAGCCTAACATTTCAATTCACTCTTCAGATGTGTTGCACTAGTTCACAACAGACCTGCTCCGTTAAACTTTTAGCTAAATATTGGCTATTACATTTTAACTTGAGTATTCTTGACATAATTATGTATATTATAATCAGCTGGTAAAATCAGTTTAAGCTTGTACCTGTGTTTTAGCTATAGAGAATATTAGCTTGACACTTCATCTGCCTATTTGGAAAAAGAAGTGCACTTTAGCATACTTGTAACTTATTACGCAAAAAAAAAAATGAATAAATAAATACTTCAACAGAATGTGCAAACTAAATTTGATATTGTTTTGAACATTGAGCTGCTTGTTATTGAATGAAATGTATTATAGTTTAAATTCATAAGCCTATTATGTAGGCTACTGACAAGCATTCATTGTAAACTAAAATATACTTTGTCATTACACATTTATGATGTTGATTTTACAATTTAGTTGCCTACATTTAAAATATATTGACTTTAAGTGTAATATAAAATATCATACTACTGTTAAAAGTATAACTAAATACTTACATACTTCATTATGTTAGGCAAGACCACTGAAAAAAAATTCATTGGATTTACTCAATTGAATTATGGACACTGGTTCCACATAATTTGTTTGGGTTCACAGTATCCTACACATTCACATAGTTTCTGTGCAATAGTTTTGTGTTAATCACATGTATTTTAATTAACTAATGTGTACATGCTTTGTTTAAGTTAACCTAACATAATTCAGTCATGTTAGCTGAATATTATTCTTTTATTTTAGATACATGCTTGGATCATGTTAATTCTACACAATCAAACCAAGTTATATCTGACTCCTGCACCGAAAGACTGAAAGCAGTTATTTTCAACGTCCCAGCACCATCTAGTGTTGATCAAGTTAAATGTCTGGTTATACACTCTCCGTCCACTTTATTAGGTAGGCTACACCTGTTCAACTGGTCATTAAAGGGATACTTCACCCAACAAATGAAATTCTGTCATCGTTTACTGACCCTCAAGTTGTTCATTATGAATTTCTTTCTTCTGCTAAACACAAAATAAGATATTTTGAAGAATGTCGGTAACCAGACAGTTGCAGGACCCTATTAACTTCCATAATTTAGGTTTTTTTACATTCTAATTCCATACCATCATCCAATCACATGGCAGCAACTCGGTGCATATAGGCCTGAAATCACATACTTCCCTATATTCCACTAGGAGAAAAACAGTATGTGACAAAACAAGTATGCCTGAATTTAAAGTGCTCATAAAAGAGATGGCAAAAAGTACCCAGATGACCTACTTCATCCAGTGAGATTCTGAAGTGTGCATATGATAGATGCATTAATAAGATGCATCCCAATATCCCAATAGGCCACAAGGTGAATGACAGTGAAGTGGCACTGGTAGTTCACATGATAATGACAACATGGCGAATGTATTGTGTACAGGTTCCATTCATAATACACACATTCATAGCCTACTAACATACTTTTTAAACAGTCGTGAAGTATTCAAAAGTACCAAGTATGCGATTTCGGCTGCAGCCATGGTCAAGTTCAAGACGAGCATCAGAATGGGGAAGAAGGGCATTTAAGGGACTTTAAACGTGGCATATAGCAAAATATATATTCATGTATATTCATAAATATTCATATTCATACATATTCATATATTCATATACTAAATTGGTATACCAATTCATCATTGTTTAAATGAGCAGCCGACCTGAGTATTGTTGCTGACCATCTCCATCCCTTAGTGTTCCTTGAACTTCCTTCCAATCATCTGACGGTTACTTCCAGCAGGATAAACACAGCATGTTGCAAAGCTCAAATCATGTCAAACTGGTTTCTTGAACATGACATTCACTAAACTCATAAATGGTCACCAGATCTCGATCCAGTATATACCGCAGCTTTGAGATGTGAAGGAACGGAAGATTCACATTATGGATGTGCAGTCGATAAATCTGCAGCAACTGTGTGATGCTTTCATGACAATATGAGCCAAAATCTCTTACGAATGTTTCCAGCATCTTGTTGAATCTGTCACAACGACAGTCCTGAATGCAAAAGTGGGTACAACCGGTAGGCTACTAGCAAAGTGTGGGCCTACCTAATAAATTGGGATGTGAAGTGTTGCCATGAATAAAAGTATTAGAATAAAAATTAGTGGATGAAAAACAAAAAAAACGACAAACAAAATAAATAAAAAATGTATTACGTTGCACCTATGCAGAGGTTTTTGTTTGTTCAGTTGTGATCATTTCTTCAAGGTCTTCACTGGGTGGCGCCAGAGTGTCTTCTAAGCGCTCTTAAAATGGTCTATCTCTCCCTGGAAATGCTGTGAGACAGATTCCAGTGATGAAATGACTGAGGGAGGTGATATAAACCAGTGATGAAATATTAGAAATTCAAGTTCATTTGCCGTTTGTAACAGATACTTTGGAATTCTTACTCAATCAGTTCTCTAGCACACAGGAGGACATTATTGAGGAAATGAGGTGAAAAGAGTGTGGTGCTTTTTGGGAATACTGCATGTTTTATGTTTAAACTGGTTTAGGGTTAGTTGTGTAAGTGTAAACCCAAAATTGTTTTAATTAAACAGTTTTATGAGCTGATAATAATTTGGAGACTATGGAATACACTGTTAAAAAGTGTTCAATTTACGGTAAAATACAGGCAGCTGTTGTTGCCAGAAATTTACCATAGGTTTAAAGGGATAGTTCACTTTGAAATTAATTTGTGATATGTTTTAGCTTACCTCAAGGGCATACAAGATGTAGGTGTCTTTGTTTCCACAGTTTTTTTTAATTTTGACATTTTTCAGTCAAACCGTTGTTGTCTATCAGTCATACACTGGAGCCTAAGGGGGTCCACCAAAAAGCATGCACAGAGAAGTCAAAATTAAACATGATTTAATGACTCCTAAATGTAAGTACACATTGATGGCCTAAGACACGAAACGAGCGGTTTGTGTGAGAAAACGAACAGTATTTATATCGTTTTTACTTCTTGTAATCATAGCCATGACCAAATGATCTGACGACACGGGCGCTTAGGTCTGCGCATGTGCCGGAAGTGATTGCTTGCGCGCCTACGTCACTTATAAAGAGATTTCGGAAGTTTTTCGTTTCACTAAACATATTTAGATATATGGGAAACTGCAATGGAAGACGATTTTGGTATATCTAAATATGTTTAGTAAAAGGTAAAACTTCCGAAATCTCCGTGTAAATATTGAGTGACGTCACACGCAAGCGATCACTTCCGGCGTAACATTGAACTGATTCAGTTCAGTTCAGTTGGACATTGAACAGCTGATTCAGATCACTTGGACGTCACTGTGATTACACGAGGTAAAAACGATATAAATACTGTTCGTTTTCTCACAAAAACCGCTCGTTTCGTGTCTTAGGCCATCAATGTGTACTTACATTTATGAGTCATTTAATCATGTTTAATTTTGACTTCTCTGTGCATGCTTTTTGGTGGACCCCCATAGCCTCCAGTGTATGACTGATAAATAACAACGGTTTGACTGAAAAATGTCAAATTGAAAATACTGTGGAAACAAAGACACCTACATCTTGGATGCCCTTGAGATAAGCTAAAACATATAAAAAATTAATTTCAAAGTGAACTATCCCTTTAAGGTTTTACAGACTTAACTTGAAATTTACAGAAATAAACCGATTTTCATTATCTGATATGTTAAATTATCGACCAATTGAAGTATTAATATATGTTTTGTACCATTGTAATACAATAATCACTCTGATGAGAGTCACATGATATTTGGAATCTCATCACATGAAGCTCTTCCACAAGAAACTAGATAGTAATAGAAGCTGTACAGTCTCATTCACTCAAATATTAAACACCATCATGGTAACATGAAATTTTAAAAAGGCAATAAACATTAATTTAACAACAATAAATGTCACACAAAACCCTAATGTACATAACTGATGTGAACAAAAATACATTAAATGTGAAATGTCAAGCAGGGAATTGTGGGAATTGTGGGAATTTTTCGTTGTAAATTATACGAGTTGTTCATTTTCACTTTAAAACGGTATTTTACAGTAAAATTACATGAAATTTACCATTAGATCTATCACAGTTATTTACCGTATATAGTAAGGAAAGGCTCTGTTAACCAATTAAACAGTTATTCACTGCAGCATTTACCATTAAAAACTGTCTTTTACCGTCTTTAACGTTAAAATCACGATCATTTTTTACAGTGTGTGATTTATAATTTCCCAGACAGCAACATAGTGTCGGCCCAGATCCGCGGCCACATCTGTACGTCAAGTCATTTATATAG